CTCGAGCCACAGCACCACTTCCGGCTTTTTTCTTTTTGTTTATGTGGTGCTGAGGAATCGAACCCAGGGCCTCAGGCATGCAAGGCAAGTGCTCTACCACTGAGCTACCTTCCCAACCCTATTATGGTTCTTGTTGTTTTTGCACTCATTTGGCTTGGCTTTTGATTATTATTATTTTTTTTTTGAGACAGGTCTTTGCTATGTAGTCCATAGTCCACGCTAGCCCCAAACTTACTCTGTTGCCCAGGGTAGCCTCTAATTCTTGATCCTCTTGTCTCTACATCATAAGGGCTGGGAATACAGGCATGTGACACCATTTCCTGCTGGCCACTACATTAAACTTTTGTTATCAGTATCTTCCTATTGCAATCCTTGTCCTTGCTCCCTGTCCCAACTCTATTCTAGCCAATCTAGATTTTTTTTTTTTTTGGGTCTGGTCCTGAACTCTGGGCCTGGGCGCTGTCCCTCAGCTCTTCAGCTCAAGGCTAGCGCTCTACCACTTGAGTCACAGCACCACTTCCAGCTTTTTTTCTTTTTGCTTATGTGGTGCTGAGGAATCGAACCCAGAGCCTCAGGCATGCAAGGCAAGCGCTCTACCACTGAGCCACCTTCCCAGCCCCCCAATCTAGATTTTTTTCCTTTTTCTCTCTTACTCATTTTCTGGAGTTAACTCCTCTTCTGAAGTGCCTATTCACAACCAATCCTTAGCCAGAACTCTCTCCAGTCCATCTGGACCGTGACATCTGTCAGATCTAGGACATCTTGTCCAAATGGCTCTAGGCATTTTGCACATGGCAGGTCAAACCTAACTCAAAGTCATCAACCAAGACACTCCCTCTGCATTCTCTCTTGATCAAACCAATTGCTTAAGTCAGAAACAAGGACTCATGCAGACCTCTATCTCTTACCCCACACAATGAGCCATCAAGTTTTGTCACTGTATCTTAATGTCACTATTAAATATACACCTTTGGAAGTGGTGTTGTAGCTTAAGTGGTAGAGCGCTAGCCTTGAGCTGAAGAGCTGAGGGGCAGCGCCTAGGCCCAGAGTTCAAGCCCCATGACCGACAAAAAAAACAAACAACAATAAATATACACCTTTGTCCATGTACAGTACTGCCACCAGAATGTACTTCCCTCATTTCCTTTGTGGGTGATCCATAGCTCCACTTCATCCTCTTGTCTTTGCCCTCCTCTCTAAAGCTAGAAATACCCTCCCCATGTACTAACCTGTTCCACTCATGCCCTTATTTCAGAACCATAGTATTTATTTCCTTAATCTTCAGCTCTGAGTGAAGATGCTAAAGAACTTTTCTTTTTCTTTCCTCTCTCTCTCTCTCTCTTTTTGGTCAGTCATGGAGCTTGAACTCTGGGCCTGGGTGCTATCCCTCAGCCCTTCAGCTCAAGGTGAATGCTCTACCACTTGAGCCACAGCGCCACTTCCTGCTAAAGAACTCTATTCAAAGCAGGGCTCCAGTGGCTCACGCCTGTAATCATAGCTACTCAGGAGGCTGAGATCTGAGGATCGAGGTTCAAAGCCAGCCTGGGCAGGGAAGTCTGTGACTCTTAAATAAATCACTAGAAAACCAGAAGTGGCACTGTGGTTCAAGCAGTAGAGCGCTTGTCTGAGCTGAAGAGTGCAAGGACAGCCCCCAAGCCCTGAGTTCAAACCCCACAACCGACAAAAAAAAAAAAAAAGATCTCTGTCCACTCTCCAAGTTTACCTCTATTGTTCCATATGCACACCTATCAGCTTTGAATAGTCTCTCCCTTTCCAAAATATGCCTTTGCTCAGTGTAATTCCTTTTTCTAGAATTGCTTTCTCCTTCCCTCCTACCTACCTGCTTGGCTAATTCTTATTTATGCTTAGGACTCGGTTCAAATGTAATCTTTTCTTGGAAGTTGTACCTGACTTCCTTTGCCTGCTCTTGCGTAAAATTTGATGCTCCAGTGAACCTACTTCTTTTCTCATCAAAACAAGCTTCCTGTGAATTATTCCATCACAGTCTGTAAGACATTTTCATGTGAGTTCCCTGACACCAGGGGGGCTGACTTTTTTTTTAATATATTACCAAGCCTCAGTAAATGAGCGGATGAAAATGAATGTCCCTGGAAACATCATTTCTTCTCTTTCAAATAAAAAAAAACTGGTAACTTAACAGTCCCTGAATTATCTGACATTTAGATACATTCAGAAAGTGACCCAGCCCATGTTTTTCTTCCCTGGACATGCTTTCCATAATAGAGGGTACATCTTGTAACCTGTGACAGGGCTGGGCAATGAGTCACTAGGTGCCTACTAAGAGTTTTTTGAGCTCCTTCCTAGCACCGGCTCCACTACCACTTCAGTTTTCAGCCCCACCCCATCCCTTTGCTCCTTAAGACATCAGTCACAGCCCAGTCTAAAAGGCCAATTCTGTTTTATTGATTCTGATAGTCCAGAGGACTCATCCTATCCTTTGTCCCCCACTATGCCCTCCCCCTTCCTGGGGACCTCTCCCACTACTATCTACTCACTATCTTCTAACCCTTCTTCGTCTTCTATTTGCTATGCTGCCATACTTCTGGCCAGAGAGAACTTCAATGCTGGCCCTTCAACTGTGGGGGCGTGTGCTGAGAACTAGGCAGAGGGAGCTGAGCCCAGCACCAGCCTTCTCCAGTTCTGAACAGGACACAGGTACCAGGGTGACATCAGAGAGCTTCTGCAATGCCTGCAGAGATGACCGGGAAAGGGGAGTGAGACTCTGAGGTCAGAACCACACCCTCCCAAGCCAGCTCATAGTAGCTCCACCCAGGCATCTAGAGAAGGTATCATTCCTTCCTCCCACTGGGAAAGATGGAAACTTCTTTCTCAAGTTGGTGGTGAATAGTGATAGAAAGTTTTGCCCTCTCTCACCTCCTGGCTATTGGGCAGGTCCCCACCTCCTCGATGCAAGAGAAAAGGGGATGCACCAGGCAATCCAGGGCGTAGAAATAGACAGTCAGCAGCTGCATCATCTGGGAGGGTCAGAGAGGCGTAGGGGTGATCTGTCAGTGCTGCCATTGCCTGGGAGAGAGGAAAGAAGATAAGCTTAAGTCTATACAATTGAGTTTGCTAGTCTTACCACAAACTAAGGGGCCTACTAAGAACCTGGGACAGTTACACTTGTGGAATGACAACAAATACATGCTACTGTCAGATGGTGTCTTTAGGTAAAAAGGGCATTACTTAGCTGGGTGCTGGAGGCTCAAGCCTGTAATCCAAGCTACTCAGGAGGCTGAGATCTGAGGATCATAGTTCAAAGCCAGCCCAGGCATAACTGGAAGTGGTGCTGTGGCTCAAGAGGTAGAGCACTAGCCTTGAGTTTAAGAGCTCAGGGACAGAGCCCAGGCCCAGAGTTCAAGTCCCACAACAGAAAAAAAAAAAAAAAAGGACTTTGCTTCTGCTAATTTCTTCCTTGTGTTCATATATAGTTCTTCTCACCTGCAACCCTCTTTGCCATCTTTCCAGTTTCCACCGGTCTATCCCATTCATTCTACAAGTCATAACTTAGATACTACTCCCTTTGAGAAGTTTCTGGAAACTTCCGAACAAATTCCTCACCTTTGTTCTCAACTCTCCGAGTTCTCTGTTCCCTTACATATCCTATTGTTTGCCGGGAATGCTCTTGTTTACTAAGGAGGTCTTTCACTCTAGACAGCTCAGAGAGATCTAGGGTTAGAGCTTATTTCCTGAGCCCCAGTTCCCCAGGGAACCACGCCCACTTTCATTGGCCCCACCCTTCTCCATCCTAGCCCCGCCCCTCCTCACCCTGACAGCCTTTTGCGAAGCCTCGCTGCTACCAGCCACCACCGTGCGGGGTCCCCCCATGCCGCAGAGGCCGCGCAAGTGGGAGGGGCCGGAGACGGGCACAGTGGAGACAGCAAAGTCCTAGAAAGAGCAAGAGGAGGCATTCAGGGCTAGGGGAGGGGCGAGGGGGTACCCTCAATCACAGGCTGCTGGCTCGCAGCTCTTCCTCCCCAGAAGGCCCCCAGGCCGCCCCTACTTGCACCTGCACCGCCCCCCGCCCCCAGCCGGCTCCCTTCCAAGGTTTTTCACGCTCCTCACCCGAAACGTGTCGGCCACGATCTCAGCGCCTCGATGATTGGTCCACTTGGAAAGGCCTACGAAAAACTCCCGGCCTGAGCCAGGAGAGACCAGAGGTTTGAGGGCTCGCTTGAGTTTGGAAACAATGGCTTGGACCGCCTGTTTTCCAAAACATGCTTTCTGGTGCCCAGCCCCCAGGGGTGCTGACCACCGGCAGCCTCACCGGTGAAGAGAACGTCGGTGCCATCCAGCGTCGCGTTCTCATCTCCCATCTCTACGATTCGGAGCCCCAAATCCTGAAGGGCTTTGCGGACTCCATCAACCTTAGGGCAGGAGAATAGAGGACACGACTGAAAACCCAACTTCCAAATCTCCCCCCAAACTCGAGACATCCGTCTCCTCGGGTCTTTGCTCACCACGCCCGGTGCCCTGGCACTCACCTCAGGCCTCCGGGCCGGGCTCCAGGGCCGCGTGATTAGGGCCGTGTCCCCTTGGATCACCGCCGTGTCACCAAGCAGCGGTCCCAGCGGCAGCGATTCTTCAGGGGGCAGTTCTACCAGCTGCAGCCCTAGTCGCTGCCTCAGTTTACCCCCTAACACCCCATGTTCCCTTTGAGCTTTGGCTAGATCCAGAGCCGGAAGACCTGCCCCTGCACCTTCCCCCGACGCCAGGCTCTCGGGGACACCCCGGATCAGGGCATGGGAGCAGCGACCCAGCCCCTCCCCTGGCGTCCCCATCCCATCCACACAGACGCCCCTTCCGGCAAGGCTGATTACTCTCTTCTTTTTCACTTCACCCTGTCTTGGAGAGGAGACGAGAAGGAAGGGTAGCAGAGGAGGAGACGTTCAGAGAAGGGCGTGGGGGTCGTCTTCCTGCTCTCTCCAGGCGCCCCTCCCACTCGGCCCCACCCCCTCCAGACCTGGCTTTGGGGTCGACCCCGCTCCACCCGGCACTCTCGTGGATCAGCTTCTTTAAGAAGAGCCCAAGAAAACAAGACTGGGATCCCTAATCTCCAAAACACCTGTTGCCCCTGCGGCGGGGCCGGGAGAGGGGATGGTGGGAGAGGGAGGGAGGGCTCGGTGAGGTTCCCTGCCGGGCGCCCCTCTTGGCAGCCGCTAGGATGCGCTCACTCCCCAAAAATGCGGCGGCCCCGCCCCCTTAACCCTCAGCTGCTCGCTGCTGGAGGGACCCGAAGTCCGGCCAGGGACCCACCGGGGGCTCCGGCACAAGAGGAGAAAACTGGGGGACAGAATCGGAGCTTGGGAGACGGAAGTCCTGAATCCCCGAAGGAGAAGAGGAGACGGGACAGGGAGGCGGAATTAGAGCCTAAGGAGTTAAGCATCCTCTTCACCTCCCGGGCTAGTTACGCTGCCCCTGGCGCGACCCAGTATAAACCAGACTTGAGTCCCGGAGGACTGGGAGAGGTCTAAACGGAACCCGAGGGGCGGAGAAACTGGGGGGCGTGGTTCTGGGGTGCGGGCACCACTCTGGGCTCCTGGATCTGGTACTCCAGATGTCCATCTTCCACCAAAGTCCACCGCACCCAGCTCCGCACCCAAACAACGGGTTCCCCGCACACTTCAGTACAAGCGTGGGCCCAGCATATCCAGACTCCAGCCCCGATTTGGTCCCAGGGTCAGACTCACCTCCAGCACCACTACCTCCGCACTGTGATATCGCCTTGAGCCCCACCCCTAGAGGAGTTGGTGGAGGGTCCTAATTTTCAAGCGAGGGACACCGGGAGCTTGGATTTGGAGGGGGTCCTTGGGTAGGCGAGCTCACGTAGTAAGATGGGGCGGGGGCGCGAAGGTCTGGCGACTCCCGGGCATTGTCTAAGCGGGACGGGGCGGGGCCTGCCTAGACCACGCCCATTCCGCCCGATCAGGCCGCGCCCACCCCACCAGGACTTCGTCTCCCCACCACCCCCTTCTCCTCCCCCGAAGTTGGCACCGCCCCTCGAGCCACTGCTGTTCTGGCCCACCCAGATCTGTTTAGCCCTAGTGGCGGGGCTGCAAATGTGGCCTGGACCATAGGACAGAACTATGGTGAACTTGCACTAAGAAAATGGCAGCCCCCTATTTAATTCGTGGCTTTTATCCTGAGCTCAAAATTACTGTCAATGCCAACCCCACTTTATATTCCTTTGTGTGAAAACAACACTATATTTCATTCTGCATTTTATTACTGAAATACATTGTCTTACCCACCCCACCCCACAATAAAAATCTTACCCTTATCCCCTTTTTCTCCTAACCCCTATCCCCCTACCTCTGCACAAGTGCCCCAGGTTTCTTTGCCTACTAGAAGTTTTGGAGTGTGTCCATTTGGATAGCAATGTGGAAATTACCCCGGGGCTCTCTGCAGAGCATGAGGGATGATATTGCCCTAGGAGGAACTTATTTGAGGGCCTTGGCCACTTGCTCATAGGCCAATTCTATCTCTTCGTCATCTGGACAAGTGGAGGCAAATTCTTCCCGAGCATAGGCATTGCTCAAGTACCGATGTACTCCTCGAAAAGCCTCAGGGATGGTGAATCCCCTGTACTTCTTACATACCACCTGGAGAGAGGAGAGGACACAGACATGTTAGCCCCACAAAGGTCACTTTGGAGGCCATGCTATTAACCTTCCCTTTCCCCAAATTCACATAAAATCAGGCATGTAAGAACCTTTACATTTGGGCTGGGAAGGTGGCTCAGTGGTAGAGCACTTGCCTTGCAAGCCTGAGGCCCTGGGTTCGATTCCTCAGCACCACATAAGCAAAAAGAAAAAAGCCGGAAGTGGCGCTGTGGCTCCAGTGGTAGAGGGCTAGCCTTGAGCTGAAGAACTGAGGGACAGTGCCCAGGCCCAGAGTTCAGGCCCCACGATCGGACCCAAAAAAAAAAAAAAAAAAAAAAAACCTTTACATTTTAATTTTTTTGGTGGTGGTACTGGGTGGGGTTTGAACTCAGGACCCTACATTTGTTACACAGGTGCAATAGCATTGAACCATACCTCTAGCCTTCAGATTTGTTTTTTTTTCCAGTCTTGGGGCTTGAACTCAAGGGCTGGGCACTGTCCCTGAGCTCTTTTTGTTCAAGGCTAGCACTCTACCACTTGAGCCACAGTGCCACTTCTGGCTTTTTCTGTTTATGTGGTACTGATGAATTGAACCCAGGGCCTCATGCATGCTAGGCAAGCACTTTACTATACTGAGCCACATTCCTAGCCTCAGATTCATTTGTTTTGAGACAAGAATCTTACTACATAGCCCAGGCTGTCCTATGACACTTTGTAGCTCAGAATGGCCTCAAATTTGAGATCCTCCCACTACAGCCTCCTGTGTGATAAGATTATAGATATGTGCCACCATGCCCAGTGTCTTCCTACAGATTTTTATCTCCCACATGAAATCATATTGGCTTTTTCAACTCTATTCTCTTAATATTTCTTTTTTTTTTTCTTTATTGGCAGTACTGGGCTTGAACTCAGGGCCTGGGTACTATACCTGAGTTTCTTTTGTTCAAGGTTAGCACTCTACCACTTGAGCCATAGCACTACTTCTGGCCTTTTCTGTTTATGTGGTACTGAGGAATTGAACCCAAGGCTTCATGCGTGCTAGGCAAGCACTCTACCACTAAGCCACATTTCCAGCCCTTAATATTTCTTTATCCCTCCTCTTCCCTTATTGAAATCCCTGCCATCAATAACCAGCCCCCTTCCAAACCACTAATTCCATGGTTTAACTTATTTCCTGACTTAAAAAAAGAAAAGAAAAATAGACTGGCAGAGTGGCTCAGTGGCATAGCACATGCCTAGGTTACAACCCCAAATTTCTCCTCCTGAATTTCCATAGTGATTTTTTTTCTTTTTCTTTTTTGTTGGTTGTGGGGCCTGAATGCTGGGCCTGGGCACTGTCCCTCAGCTCTTCATCTCAAGACTTGTACCTTACCACTAGAGCCACAGTGCCACTTCTGGCTTTTTCTGCTTATGTGGTGCTGAGGAATTGAACCCGGGGCCTCATGCATTTGAGGCAAGCATTCTACCAATGAGCCACTTTCCCAGCCCTCCATAGTGATTTTTTGTTTGTTTGTTTTTTGTCTTTTGCCAGTCCTGGGGCTTGAAATCAGGGCCTGGACACTGTCCCTGAGCTTCTTTTGTTCAAGGCTAGCACTCTATCACTTGAGCCACAACGCCACTTCTGGCTTTTTCTGTTTACTTGGGACTGAAGAATTGAATCCAGGGCTTCATGCATGCTAGGTAAGCACTCTACCACTAAGCCACATTCCCAGCCCATCACAGTGATTTTTATCTCTATTTTTCATTTGACTTTTAGTCATGTATTACTTAACTTTCATGTGAATGTTTTGTTTTCTGATTTCAATCCTTGGTGGGCAAGGGTCATTCAACTAACTTCTTTTATCATTGTTTTTCCTTTTCTTTTTTTTTTTAATTTTTATTTGTGTGTGTGTGTGTGTGTGTGTGCCAGTCCTGAGCTTGAACTCAGGGCCTGGGTACCTTAGCTTTTTAATTCAAAGCTGATACTCTACTACTTGAGCCACAGTTCCACTTCCGGCTTTTGCTGTTTAATTGGAGATAAGAGTCTCATAAACTTTCCTGGCTGGCTTTGAACCATGATCCTGATAGCTCAGCCTCCTAAGTTTTCTAACATTACAGGTGTGGCCACCAGTGCTTGGCCCTTGTCTTTTGATGCCTATTGTTTACATGTTCTTCAATTGTACAGCAAACTGACATCAGGCCTATGATTCAAAAACTATACTAGTATTTTTATGGGAAGCAGCAATTTTCATCTTCCTCAAGAGGAAGTGGAAACTGAAGCATAAAGCTAGCTGCAGCTTTGACTTAGAAAGATTGCTCTATCTCATCTAGCTGACACAAAGACAGGAAGAACCTTCTTGAAAATAATCCTGGAATATGTTACTCCTGACCAAGCCCTGTGTCTGAATGTTGAGCAGCAACTGATGTGGACTAGATTGGGTCTCAGTGGTAGCAATGTATGGAGACTACTTGAAGAAAAAAAGCATCCTTTAGACTTGTCAAGGGGACTCCATGGAGTAACTCCTTAAGATGCCACTCCAGCTTCTATCTTCTCCCATGGTCACCACCTACCTGTACTATGTGCAGCTTTGGCAACAGGTTGCAGTCAGCCAGGGTGAGCTCATTGCCATCCAGAAATTTTCTTTGAGAGACACCTTCATCTTCTGCACTGGTCTCATCCACTTCTTCTGGGAGGGGGGATGTCAGGTAATTGTCTAAGATCTTCAGGGCTTTCAGGAGTCCCTTCTCCAGATCTGTGCAAGTGATTAAAACATTAGGAACACTGAACATTGGGAAAAGGCATAATCTGTCCTATAAGACCCACTAGTAAGATAAGTTCAAATAATAGTAAACAAGGCTGAGGAGGTAGTCCAGTGGTAAAGTGGCATGTGGAAGACCTGGATTTAATACCAAGGATTACCCAAAAAAGTGCTTAGCATAATAGATACAAGTGCTGCAGGCCAGACCTCAGTATAAGAATGCTTTGCCTAAGAAGGAACTGGTCCTGAGTTCACTTCCTAGTACTGTCAAGAAAATAAAAACAGAAACCGAAAACAGATGCCAGGTGAAGGCAGCTCGTGATTATAATCCTAGCTACTCAAGAGGCAGCAATCTGAGGATCGCACTTCAAAGTCAACACAGACAGAAAAGTCCTTGAGAGTCTTATCTCCAAAAAACTACCAAAAAAGCTGGAAGTGGGTCTGTGGCTTAAATGGTAGGGTGCCAGCCTTGAGGAAAATAATCCTAGGACAGTGGCCAGGCTCTGAATTCAAGATTCAGGATTGGCACAAACAACAACAACAACAAAAATAAAACCAAGTCACCTGGTACAACTAGCCTTAAAAAAAAAATCCAGAAAACTGACATTACTAGTGGCTATTATTATTTTTTCAAGGTGGAGTGCTAGATTGAACGTAGGGCTTCACACAGGCTAGGCAAGCTCTGGACTACTCAGTTCCCTAAGCATTTTAGGAATAAAACTTATTTAATTCTCATATCAATACAGGAAATAGGTATTATTATACTCCTATTATAGATCTAGAAGTGCATTTATAGAAAGGCTAAATAAATAGCTC